TGGAATCTTCCGTTTCTTTTATCGACTTGTCCAGCTTTTTGATATTCTTCTTCGCAGCGGCAATTTGAGAAGTCAAGGATGCTAATTCCCCATGCATTTCTTTCACTTCGGCGGCTTGCTTCGCTTTTTTATTAGTAAGCCGATCGATCTTCGTCTTCAAGGAGTTTCGATATGCTTCACTGTCCTGGTGAAAAAAAGAATATGGAAGAAAATATGCGTAGATAACGGAATTCTTTCTCGTGATGCCCGAAATCCACGGAGTCCGTTACTTTACTTCCTTTAACACATGTTTTGCATCCATTCAATCATATTTCTTCTGTTCTCACGTAAGCTTCCACAATCTAAGGTTTTACAGTAAATATTTAAAAATGTGGTCATCCAATTGAAACTGAAAAGCAGAACACCGCGAGTAGACGATTCCATGATGAACACAACAACAAATACTAACAGCTAGAAGTCCTTCGACCATCTGAGCTTTCCTGGCTGAGGTGCAGGCAATTTCCAGGGCTTCAGCCTTCTTCTTCTGAAGATCATTAATTTCGGAAGACAACTGCTTTATTTCCTCGGTCTTCTGAAGAATCGATCTTTCCATGTCTTTGCTTTTACTCCTGGTTTTTTCCAGCTGCTTGCGGTCCTTCTCCAGAGCAGTTTGAATTGAGTCCAGCTTCAAGAAGAAAACGCCAAGGGTATCATCAGTCTATGCAACTCTTTTTTCGATTTAATTTTGGAAGGTTTTCACGAAGTACAGTATATACGATTGGAATTGTGAAAACGTTGACCAATGTTTACCTCTTTGCTTAGCTTTTCCTTTTGCCGAATGGCGGCGTTGAGCTGATTTTTCAGAAGAAGATGTTTCCCTTGAACTTCGGCCACTTCAGCACCAACTTCTTCCACGTTGAGTTTCTCTCTGGCAAAAGCGTTCTCTTCAATCCTTTGTCGCTCTTGGGCAGCCCTCAGGGCTTCTTCGGCTTTTTCAAGTTTTTGCAACATTTCTTGGTTTTCTGAGTCTTTTTCGGAGACCTTGGAGAGGACTTGTTCCCATTTTTCAGAAAG